GGTAACACTCGAAGTCTATAAAAAAGTTAAAAAGATTTCGGGGCGTTACAGTGTCTGTCTTTAAGAATATTATATTGTCCATGTTATGAGTTATTGCTGATTCTTAGAGGTTTCTTTCTCTCACTCATGTTTATATATAATGATTATCAGTCACTTTGTCTGTGTAAACCTTGACAAAAATAACTGCTTGTAATTTCAATTTTCTACTGTTGCAGGGTTGGAGGAAGTGGAACTATGGCAGGAGTTATGGTCTTCAAGGAGTAACGTAGGTACATTATGTGCACAGTTCCTATTGCGATTTTATATGGCTTTAACAATAAATTGTTTCCTGGTAAGCTTTCTTTGACAACTCTAAATGTCATGGTAATTTTAACTTCCGCATTTGAGAGAAAGGTTGCATTTTGTTTCTGATGATTATTTTTTGAACTTAACTTTTATTGATTGATTAAACTTTGTAGTTACAATCTTATCTCTCTCATCGATAAATTTAGAGTTTGCCAATTGCCATATATTTATGTTTTCTTTGCTGCTAGTATTTGGTCATAGATAAAGCTGCATATTTAGGGAGATAACTGTCCTTTACTTATTTTTCCGTTCTAATAATCCCTGGTTAACTGAACGAGCTATCTGCATATACAATTACTTTCAGCGGTATTTATTGGAGTTAGAAATTAAACTGTAATTGTAATTACTAGAGCAATAATAAACAAACGAGATTGGAAACACGGAAAGGACATAAATAGATTTATAATGGTTCAATTCCGAGGTAAGTGCTACGTTCATAAGCAGGAGGTGTGCAAGGATCTCAAGTCTCAGTCTTGTCGAAAAACAGCCTTCCCCTAAAATTCTTTATATGGATTATAGAGTAGGAGTATTAGGGTGGCATAAGATGTAGGGACTACCTAAATATACGTAAAAGATTTGCCTTTAGATTCCACAGAGTCCAACAACTGGAGAGAAGATTACTTCCATTTGCTTACTGGAAGAAGCTCAGAGCTATTTTAGGGGCTGCCATTCTTCTATACTAGGAGGCAGCGTGAAGCTTTAATGAAATTGCATCCATTACAGTTGATGTTCATAATCTGGAGTAAAAGGATTCAAACCTTTGCATGCCACTGCCAAAACAATATAAGAGCTAGACATTTGATGCACCATTCTACTATTGTTATGTTGTTGGAGAGCAAAATCAAGCTTAAAATTGTAAAGAAGTGAGAAATGAGAAATCATAGCCTCTAACTCTTATCAATATCCCCTCTAGTATACTTTAATTCCAAGCATTGGGATGACAATAGGATTATTGTGCCATCTCACAGTGCTTGATGATATTTAAACTTTATACTACTCGCTGTTAGATTGAATTGTGTTTGTGCGGTTATGACAGTGCTCTTGAGCCAATTTAAGAACCTGATGTGCCCTTGCCCTGTCAAAAAGCATGCTCTTAAACAATATTGCATCGACATAAATTGTGCATTTTTTATACGTTCCTCCACTGTGAAATTTGACCGGCATGAAAAGTGTGATCGTGGAATCAAAAGTAGATTTTTCAAATCTGTAACATGATATAATATGGAGTACCCTTCTGAAAAGTGGGTAAAGATTAACTCTAGTAGGTAAGTTTTTTAACTAAAAAGTTCTCCCATAAAGTAATTTCTGAAACGTCAAACTACTTGGCGAAATTTTTTTAAGTTTGGCCAAATGTGCTTGTAAATCAATTCTGTGCACTACCACTCCCAACCTCATCTGAATGCAGGCACATACAAACACAAAAGACGCTCAGCTGTGCTATGAATTTGTTTTCAGTTGTCTGATTGAACAAGTTCATCATCTCCTAATCCTTCTCACTGTAAATTATTATTATTATTTTGTTTCTGCAATTGAATGATATGCATCTTAAACAGGTACTATGCAGCTGTCTCCCCATTCTGTGACATTGTTGAGCGGGTTCCTTGCAGTCATTTCAGTCAATGTCGTAATAGCATTCTACATTTACATGGCAATGAAAGAGCCCTCGAGTAAACACGAGCCGGATCTTATATTCGTTGCGGATGCCAAGGCTAGCATAAAGCAGTCTGGACTGAATGAAGCTGACTCGCCATCAAACCATGGGAAACAAGAATAGGTGATGTCAACTAAGATTAGACTGTTTAGATTTTGTCGAGGAAATTGTCCAATAAGGACCAAGTTGGAGAGGGAATGAAAAAAGCCTCTACGAGTTGCTGATCAACGATACTGCTTTATTCTCTAACTTGTAAGTTTGCAATTACCATTTGACCATCAAGATCGAGTTAAGTGTTTAGTATGGCTGGTTGGGTTATTATAATTCATGGAAGAAATTACCGAATTTCCTCATGCGAAGTCTGGCAAGCCCCTTTTCATGAATCTAATATGAGTGCTTGGGAACCTGTCTGAACTATTGAAATATATTAGAAGTGTACGAGAACGACTAAGGCTGTGTTTGATATGGAAAATT